TTGGAAGCACTGTCTGACGCGTCTGCCTCCGCGACCCGAAAGGAGAAGCGGCGACGGAAGATGAAGAAGAAGAAGAGTCCAGTGTACGCGAATTGAGAAAAGAAGAAGCAGTTCCAAAATATTTACACCAGAAGAAACGTGTAATGAGTCACAGAAGATGATTCTGGCCAGAGCAGGAAGAACACTCCTCTTACTTAAAGAGATCGAAAGGACAAGACGTGCCAACAACCAATATTTTATTCAGGATAAATGTGGCTACAGAAGGGGACAAAATAGCAAATTTAAACCTTACCATGGGCTTTTAGATTTATGAAAAGAAACGATTTGTGCATTCTTTCACCCTCGAGTGTTGGCAAAGATTTTTTCGTTTATCGTTGCATAACGCGCAACATTGAATTTTACGCTGACTGGGTTTTCTTTATAGGTAACGCGAGCGTTATCGATGGGAAAATATGGTTCTCAGTTTCATGCTACCTGTTTTGGCCCATAACGGAAATGACAAAGAAGCAGAATATTTTCAATGTTCAATTTTTCACAAGCTTTGTTGGATCACGCTTGAACTGATAACTGAATATCAAGAATGACATAAAAAAACTCTTGCCTATGCGAAAGATGTCTAGGGTCAGCGACACAAACAATTATCTTGTTTTGGAAATTATACGTTTGCAACCGGTACTTAGAGTGAGAGCGCATTACGGCTCACCAAATAACGTTTAGTTGAAGACGTGCAGTATTCATCTCATAATCCTATTGTCAAGAATCGTGATAAATTAAACTCAGCTCACTGGTCGTTACAGCGTAGAAATTTAAGCCCTCTCACCACATCTTTTCTGCAGTTTCGATCATCTTCTTATTTTTTTATATTTTTCGGGAAGCGCCCACATATCAAGGTGATTCTGTCACCCGAAATGTAAACATTCATATCTCAATTTGACCATTTCCTGATAAAGAACCGACTGAATCGGTCTAATTTTGGTCCTGTATGATAGTTAGGGTTTGGACCGCTAGATTTTGCAGTGCATTAATATGTTTGAGCTGACAATTTCAGCCTTTTCACTAGAAACTGAATTAAAAATTCTACTGTCCTTTCATCCTTTAAAAGTTTTTCCAAAATTTTTCAAATTGCTGCTTGTAGAACACTCTGAAAATGTGATTTTTCCATCGAATGAAGCATTAAAAGTTCTCTGATATGACTGATTGAAAACGATGTCTGAAGAAATCAGGCGTTGGCATTTGTCGCGGTTTGACAATACTATCTGGAGAGAACAGAAACCTATGAAACCATTCTCCTATGGGAAACAAAAAATGACCGCAGACATGTCTGAGGTGAACACCGTTCTCTAGAGGCTGACTTAAACTGTGACGAAGAATATGATGTATGTCGCAGCCAACAGTATGGCTCAAAGCCGAAATTATTCTGGAAACCAAAGCGCTAGACTTCATTAATCTGAAAACTTGGTCTTTGACCCTGATACCTCAGATGACGATGACAATAACATAGTTCTTTTACAATTCTTATCGTTATCTTTTAATATATCGAGCATTAAAATCTTTTAAATATTTTTATCTTACATAAATTATGGTTTCTTTTGCAACTGCAAGTGTACAATATTGAACTTCAAACCAATTCTACTTTAATCTTTTAGACATCACCTTCTGTAGAATACAGCGCAAAACTCGATTTAATTATAAGCAACGCAGAAGATGCGATGACTGACTGATACCGACGTTTCGGCCCATGTCTTACCGACCTTCTCTAAGGTTTGTTCGTGGAGAAGATTCGTAAATCTGGTTGGACGTCCGCAGCGTCGATAGTGTCGGAGCCAGAACGTCTTCACTACCAATCCGCCCTGAAGAATGTCTGTGATAGACAGCCGAAGAGTCAGTATTGGACAATCAGTGGACAGACTACAATATTGTGTGCATTTCGTACAAGTTAATCGCATTTTGTGCTGTTTTTTCAGTATGACCACCAACGCACAAATGAATTACTCTATTTCCTGCTGTTGTACTAAACCTTATGTTCGAAATACATTTTTACTTGCAAATCGATATTCTGTCTACAGTAACATATTTAATATTTTTGCGAATATATTCGGATATTGCTGTTTTCAGCTTGTGCGTAATATTGCTGGGTCCAGTTCTTAAGATTTAAAAACTTTGTGGTCATTGGTTTTATGGCAGATTACATTGTTTGGTATGCTAGTGTTTAATGGCACCGTGAACGTTAGGATTGTAGAAGCGTCCGATTTGAAACCGACTCTGTGGCGCACAAGGTTTTCTAGTGTTACATCGCAAAAGGGCTCTCAGCTGTTAGACCCATACTGTAACGTTGACGTTGATGAATATCTGATCTACACGACCACTACAAAGACCAGGACTTACAACCCGCGGTGGAACGAACAGGTCAGCACTGTTGTCCACGATGGGCAGAGCATCGGTTTCTCCGTATTCCATGACTGTGCTATTCCCCCAGATGATTTTGTTGCCAACTGTCGCATCATGTTTGAAGAGTTGGTTTCTGACCTCAACGACATCTGGGTAAGTTTCTAGGTCATCGATTTTTGTTGTTTTTAATGTTTTTTGTTATATCTTATTGAGTGACGGTTGCAGGTCATGGTTTTGTCATTCACAGTATATAGTAAATTACTTTTACTTGTGGACAGTTTCTGCCATAGACGTTCTGTCCTGTTTTGAGATTTATCAAAGGAATTTATGGAGTAAAAAATAAAAGGCAGTTCGATATGGATTTCTCGGTTAATTTCAGCTTTTGAACCTTGCGGGCTGTCCGACTGGTTCTAAGAAACAGCAACGTTAACAGTGGTACCTCTTTTAAGAATAAGCTTTACTGAGTATATTCAATATCTGTGAGCAACAGAAACAGCTGGTTAAGACTACAGATTTTCTTAACTTCATTGTCGACCGTCGCACATTCGCCGATCGTTGTCGCTTTATTCTCCTGCCTATGTTGTAAAATCAGTCTAATTTATTGGCTTCATTTATCCTTTACCAGTTACATATCCGCTGCTTTTTAACGAAATTAAAGTACGTAATTGCTGAACTGCTTTCTTATTTTAATAAAAAGTTTTCTCCGGCTTGGTTAAAATCAGGTAACAAAATCAAAAGTCAATGCAAGAGTATATCAGATCTTCCCGAACAGTACATCAGACTCACGCAACTGCGAATATGGGGAGGTGCGAGGGATGGAATACATTTGATCACGTAGCCACGCTGGTCACAGGAAAGAAACTGCCTGAGTAGTAAAATATTGTTTGAACCTGCAATTCAACTCAGACTTTTGACCGCTTTTATGTCATGTGAAAGAAAGAAAAAATTCGTTCCTGCTGCTTTTAGTCCATCGGTCTATATTCAGGATTAGCAGGTTCGTTCGACTTGGTGGGGGAGGGGAGGGGGCTTCAGGAGATTTCTCAAACGGTCATAATCCTTAGCCAGTCGGATAAGCTCTATGGAATATATTCCTAGGTATGGCAGTTGTCCTGATATATACTTGATATATACTGGATATGCTTTGCTTCTTGACTGTCTGTAATGTGGCTTTGAGAAGAGGATCTCGTTGGAAGCCTTTTCTCCGGTATGCTGATCACATATAAAATCGTCGCAATTCTGATTTCCCGGCCTGGAACAGATTCGGGCATAAGTGAGAAAAATCTCCTATTACCATCTTTCGAATCTTTTTTAGCCTCATTATCGGAAACGATCACATTTCAGACGTGTGTGTCTGATATCGAAATCTTTTGGTTAATTTTCAGCGCTCATGCCCATAACATAAATTACAGTTACTACTACTCAATCCTTCATTCATCAGCACACGTCGGCAGTCCTCCAACATTACTGTGCTCACTTGATAGATTTGTAAGTTAACTTCTACTTTTTGTTTATCATCTTACGTGAATAGTAAGATACTCTAGATGTATGAACATTAGCGTCCACCTACCTTAGCGTCCTCTACTAACCTGTGGAGCATAGTTAATGATGTTTCTCGAGAGCGCAAATGTGATCATGCTGATTTTCGGGTCTCTTCAATCTGCAGTACAGTACCTTAAAATTGTTTAACCGGAATTCGTTGCAACGCAAAACAGGTTTATGAAGTCGTGATGATATGGTAGCTATTATAAGGTCATCTGCTGTTTTTTTGTTCCGATTCTGATATGGTCATTAAAACTTTTTTGAACCTTGAGGGGCATCGTCGATATGATGATGTCTTCAGATAGATGGAACATAACTCCTTCACAACCAGATTTCACTGCATGTTGCACCGTTTTCTTGTTCCTAGTTGTCAAAGAAGGTGGTTCATTACATTTGAGCACTTAACAGTGCATGCATCTCAGGTTATTTTGTCCGCCAAAGCCGCTGCATCTGATCTTAGAGAAATTGTGCGAAATTTATTTTACTACAGGGACCGAAAATATTTTCATGTTTTTGCGGTGGCTTGTGATGAGTGTCAGCTCCTGAAACATCGTTCGTGATGAGTTAGGTGAATCTAGGGAACTAAGCGATGCTACATGCATTTGGCATTACAGAAGATGAAATAGCGTTGAACCGTGACCTTCGTAAATGGCTTTTAGTAACTTGGAGCAAGGCAGCGCTGCTGTACGCCGTGACATCTGATCGCGAAAGAATTATGTACCATTTGCCATTCCCCAGCGTACGAACATATTTTTGATATGTGCACATGAATTTACGAAAATCTCTGCATTTATCACCTCTTTAACAACCAAAGCTCTCACCTCCTATATCAAATACAGTGTGCATTATTGATTAACGATCAATCGGCTGGCACAGGTTCCGCATTTCGCATCGTCAAATGCACTTACAAGGCAGATGGCACTGCGTTAAGTTTCGAACACTTGTTTAGCAAAAATCTGTTGACGATGTCAAACGTTGATTGAATATCGCTATTTCGACTCGAAGTTATTTATAATCAAGTTTGTT